AAATGGCATTTTTTATGTTTTAGAATGTTCTGTAGTACAGAATCTGTAAGGTGGCCCGCGATACTCCCGTTACATCAGAAAGTACTTAATTTAGGGTCCAAAGTAATTTCACCCAGAAGAGCTACTTCCATAGAAATTGGCAAATATTGGCGTTGAGAAACTATTTAAAACTTGTACCTATTTTTGTATTGAGATAATAATAATTTTTACATTTGGTATTATTTTACAAGAAGGGCACTTTATTTTAACGATTGTATGACTTCAGCCCGTGACTAAAGCGCCATAAAGCCTTATGTTCTGGGTATAAAGACATAGCTTGTCAAAAAAACATTTAGTGTCATGAAAACATGTACGTGGGTGTTTTAATGGTAAGCGTTTTAAAGGTGGGAGCAGAAAAACCATTTAAAACCAAAACAAAATAAAAGCACAGAAATAACGAACTATCCACATACACTACGTTAATAAAGATAAAGTAGATTTGTCGACTGATATTTGAGGAGGTGCATTCCAAAACTCGACTAATCCATATTAGTTGTTTTTGAGCAAAATGTAAAAAACCTTACACGTGACTACTAACTCATATCAGGCCAACAGAATACTTTAAACGAAATATATAAGCATAAATAAAACATGTATATACCTTGATTAAAAAAGTATAGCTCCAATTTAAAATAATTTAAAATTACATACGTACGAGGTGTGTTCAGAAAATAACGGGAATTGTTAAATTTCGCGGCTTCGGAGGGTCCGGTTGTCATAAAATTTTCTTTATTATGTTGGTATACATACCCTCGAAGTATGATAAAAACTTTAGCTGTTTTCATTGTTTACTTTGTCTGTGGCAGCCGCTAAGGTTAGACGTGTTTTATGACCTCGGCGATTTTCGTTCGTTAAAAGAAATGGATCAAAGAATTTGTATTGGATATTTTGCTTAAAAAATTAAATAAATTCTGTGAAATGTTAATAAAGGCCTATAGTGAGTCTGCTATAAGTAAAACAAGAGTTTACAAGTGGTATAAGAGTTTCCAAGATGGCCGTGAAGACGTTGAAGATGACGAACGCCGCGAACGCACAAGCACATTAACAACCGATAAAAACATGGAAAAAGTGGAAGAAATGGTTATAAACCATCAGAGAAGTCGATGATGATTTTGGTATATCGATTGGCTCATCCCAGGAAATTTTTTCGAATGTTTTGGGTATGAAACGCATGGCAGCAAAATTTATTCCAAAATTAAATTTTGAACAAAATTTTTGGCCAAAAACAATACTGTAATAATGCCCCAGCCTCCATATTCGCCAGACATGCCTCTGTCTGACTTTTTCCTATTCCCAAAAATAAAGAAAACCTTAAAGGGCCGTCGTTTTGCAAGCAAAGATGACATTAAAAGCGCATCGCTGAAAGAACTAAAGGCTATCCCAAAAATCGAGTTTTAGAAGTGTTTCGAGTATTGGAAGAAGAGCTGGCACATGTGCATAATATCCAATGGGGACTATTTTAAAGGCGACAACATTAATGTAGACGAATAAATAAATGTTTGTTTCAAAAAACGAAAATTCCCGATATTTTCTGAACACACCTCGTATAATCCGAGTTCTGCATGATATAACCAATAGATAAGGCAAGTTTTGGAACGACGAATTTGTAAATGAATTTTAAATGGAATAAGGTGAGTTTTAGAATTTTTTGAACTGCAGGGTATAGGGGAATACATATTAAGAGACACCACTAACTCATTTTTATTAAAAAGTGGATAAGCCAAGTTTTGGAATGGACCTCCTTATTTGTAGTTTAAAAACAATGTTTAACAAATTTTTTGCTTCACGAAATTTGTAAATAGCGGTCCACTAAAATGTTCGGTGACGGTTTTAGTGACTAATCTCTACGATAAATGTAGTTTCACACTGAATGTCATAACCCCATCTCAAATCCCATTATTTATAAAAGGGGCATTTTGGTATACCAACAAATCTAAAGGTCAATTCCTCTTGAGACGTGCAAATGTTATGTTGGTACCTAACTATAGTTTTGAAATAAAACAAATATTTAATAAAATTACCTATAATTGTCACAAAGTCGCATATGATTTTATTCTGACGACTGTATGATTTCAATGCAAAAGCGAAAATTACATGTGATTTTACTGTAACCTTTCAGTGCTGACATTTACGTATGTCTTACTGATGTCATACGTGACGACGATTTTCACGCGTGATTTACTTCAATGCGAAATCGCAATTGCTAGCTGGGCTGTTATTTTTTCTTTTATTAAAAATAAAAATTTATTGTTTTTATTCAAGCCTTAAAGTAAAATCTGCACAATATTTGGAGGTGAAATATGGTGTTAATAAAAATAAATTTAAAATAAATTTAATATTAAATTTAAATGACCATATCAACAAAGGTCTTCTTTCTGACTAACATTGAGTTCCATAGCTTTCTTAACATCGTAGTATGGAACATTTTTCAAAGCAACTTCATCATCAGTTAACAAAAAGTGCACCAAAGGAGATATATTATCTTTATCAACAGGCAATTGCTTTTCCTTGCTGAAGTAACTTATTATATTCGCTGGAATCACGGTACACAAAAATCCAAGAAACGTGTAATAATAGTGAGAAATTTGAAACAACCAAAAAACATTCGATTCAGCCTTATCTTGCACTGTTTTTGTATTTATAATTGCTTCAGTTGCATTGTTTATAAACTCAAATGATTTGGTGGTCATCATATCAAAAAACTCCTGACTTGAATTGTGATAGCAACCTTCAGTTGATAAAGGTTTTGTTGGATATACAATTAGGTGAATACTTTTGTAGTATTGGGCTCTAAAAGCCACTATTAACGAAACCAGCAGACCTATTATAGAACCATAAAATGCACCCTAAAAAATGTTAACTTACTACGTATAAGATAAAGTCCAAGAACTTACTCTTCCTTTTACTTTTGGAAACAAAACACCCAAAGTAAAAAGTGCCATAGCAGGACCCCCTGTTACTCCATTAACTGCATAAGCTATGGGCAAAACGTTTTCATATTTTTCTATTACATACACTAAAATTGTACAAACAACCCCCGTTATAATAACAATCAATTTCAAAATATTCGCGGTAGTTTTTTCCGTATGTACTGGCAATACTTTAGCAATAAAATCCTCGTATATTGTTCCCGAGAGGCAGTTTAAATTGGCTGAAACTGTACTGAGGGCAGCACAAAATACTCCTGCTATAAAAAGTCCTGGAAGGCCAGGAATTGATCCTGCTACATCTAAAACGTAGTAAGGAAGTATTTGATCTACTTTCTTGATGTAACCTTGTGTATATGGATCACAGTTTTTATATCTTGCGTACATTATTAGACCCATTGATGTTGAGAAGAATGTAACTAAGGACTTGCCTATGGAAAATAACAGGGCGGTTCTAAAATAAAATTTTTAGTTAAATTGTTATGTTAATTAAGAGGTTTAATGTTACAATTTGGCCTTTGCAAAAGATGGTACTGATAAAAATTTTTGCACGCAAGTTTGGTTTACTGCACTTAATTGGATAAAACTAAATATAGAGCCTAGGACGACTGCCAAAATGGAATCTCTTTCTGTTATATCAAGACCAATACTAAAAATGATTATTACTGCATGAACAGGCAATTTTTCCAAAGTTTATCTTACGGAAATGTTAGTCTTTTTCCCTTGTAAGCTTCTATCCATACATTTGAAAAACCACCTATATCATTAAGTCCTAAACAGTACACTGTTATTAAAGATGCTATTGTTATAGCGAATTGTATAGCGTCAGTCCATACCACAGCCTTTAAACCTCCTATGGTAGTGTAGAAAACGCATACACCACAAACCACTGGTGTTATGTAGTGTATATTAACATCAGTTGCTAAATATAACAGTAAAAATGTTAATGTTTACAAATAACACAATATGTTTACCTGCTGATAAAGCTAGAGCTGGAATGTAGATCACAATAGGCAAATAGAGTAACATTCCCAATGTAAATAAAAAAGAAGCGAAGCTTCTTGTTCTGCTATCAAATCGTTTTTCCAAATACTCAAACAAACTGATACATTGGAGTTTATAGAAGACTGGAAGGAACACGTAAACATTTATAATATAACCAATTAGGGAAACAAAAATTTGAAGACCAATACAAGCTCCATATACGTAAACGTCTGCAGGTACACCTAGCAGGCTCAAACCAGATGCATGACTAAAAATATGTTTTTCCAATTATTAAAAAAAAAAGGTTCAAACATACCTTGCAACTAGTGATAATGATATTGGTACCACCGTCATTTCTTTACCACCCATTAGATACTCCTTAGCAGATGCTTGTTTATTATTAAAACAACCAAAATAAATACCAATACAGGCGCTTAGTACCAGCATTAAAATAAATAAGGTGTAATCGTACCATGAAAATGACACCTTATCAATGTTACCAACTATATTTGGTATCATTGTGGTTGTTAATTGTATAAGGTTGTCCATGGTAGAGTTCATCATCTAAAAAATGTTTAGTACTTTTTACCTTGCAGATACGTCGACTCGTTCTGTACTTACTTTTAGCACAAACTAAAATACATTAAAATATAATTTTTTTTTTTAATAAATTAAATGCTTTGATCATGCAAAACTATCTATTTATTTTTGGATTTATAAATTATTAATTGGATTATTAAATTACTTATATAAAAGCTTAACAAGTGTAATTATGGTATCAAAAGACTTAAAGTAGTTTAATAATATGTTAGGAGGCAGAAAGACTAAGGTCGTTAGCCTTTTGGAGTAATCCAATAAAGTTTATTTTATTATTATTAATATGTTAGAATACTTTAAGACTTTTTATAGCATCAACCTTGAAAATCTGTTCTCTATTCTTAAAATATACAGTATTTAAATGTGGCAATTTATCTTATCCAAAGTTATTTTAGAGATAGGATGCAGTTTGTTAAAACTAATAAAGAGATATCAGCATTTTATGTGGTGTACCTCAGGGCTCCATATTAGGACCATTGTTGTTTTGATTTATACATTTAATATAACCAAATTATTAAATCACTGTCAGTCCTATTTGTATACTGACGACACACAGCTAAAATACTTGTTTTATCCCATGCAAGTTAATTAAGCATTCTCGGAAAAACACCAACTTAAAATTAATCCTTCAAAATCATACAAGGTGTGTTCAGAAAATAACGGGAATTGTTAAATTTCGCGGCTTCGGAGGGTCCGATTGTCCTAAAATTTTATTTATTATGTTGGTATACATGCCCCCGAAGTATGATAAAAACTTTAGCTGTTTTCATTGTTTACTTTGTCAGCCGCTAAGGTTAGACGTGTTTTATGAGCTCGGCGATTTTCGTTCGTTAAAAGAAATGGATCAAAGAGAATTTCTATTCAATTTTCAAAAAATGAAATAAATTCTGTGAAATGTTAACAAAGGCCTATAGTGAGTCTGCTATAAGTAAAACAAGAGTTTACAAGTGGTATAAGAGTTTCCAAGATGGCCGTGAAGACGTTGAAGATGACGAACGCCCCGAACGCACAAGCACATTAACAACCGATAAAAACATGGAAAAAGTGGAAGAAATGGTTATAAACCATCAGAGAAGTCGCTGATGATGTTGGTGTATCGATTGGCTCATCCCATGAAAGAGAACCTTAAAGGGCCGTCGTTTTGCAAGCATATATGACATTAAAAGCGCATCGCTGAAAGAACTAAAGGCCATCTCAAAGATCGAGTTTTAGAAGTGTTTCGAGTATTGGAATAAGAGACAACATTAATGTAGACGAATAAATAAATATTTGTTTCAAAAAACGAAAATTCCCGATATTTTCTGAACACACCTCGTATACTCTTATATTTGGAAAAAACAAAATTGAAATTGATAACCACATTAATATTTCTATTAATAATAATATATTGCCATGCCATACATTGTACCACTCTATAATTGTTAACAAATTCCCTTCATAACTCTTTAATAAAATAAAAGAAATCATAACCTATAACAACAAGTTTATTAAGCTTCATTGGTACGAGAGCCTTAATGCAGATACTTTGTACGTTTTGTCGGTTTCATAAAACAGTTTTTTGCGTGTATGTTAGAAAAAAAATGTCATGTAAGAAGCTACTGCATGGAGGGTTTAGGTCTTGTGCACCTTATTCCCAAATTAGAAGGTAAGTGTTTAGAGCTCATGTAAATTAATTTCAATTATTTGGTAGGTACCTATACCCATATTTTATAGATACCAAATAATATAAAAGTTAAATATTAAGTAGTTTACTGTGGGAAAGGTACATTTGTGATAGGTGACTCTTTGTTATTATTTAGAAGAAGCCATTACGCTTGTGCTAGTGCTGCTAGTCCTCGACCCGCCAAGTGTTTGCCAACTTATTCCTAAATTAGAAGAGAGATTTGCAGTCATAAAAAAAATGAGTTACGAGATAAGCAGGAGCAATTGTTGATCTTTAATCAGCATCAACAGGTAGTATTTTTGTTAACTGTTTTAAAGATGTGGTCAGAGTCGGCATCGGACGTTATCTTAGATGTAGTAAATTAAAAAAAAAATCATGGTGCATTTTATGGTTCTACAACAGCTCTGCTGGTTTTGTTAATAGTGACTTATGCCTGCAGGCCACCCTGTCACTCTAATATATTAGAGTATACAATGTATACTATACATCAAATATAAGCATATAGGCAAAACATTTCCAATTTTTTCTATAGCATTTACTAGACCTGTACAAACTACCCCCGTATGAGTATGAGTATGAGTATGAGTATAGGAACGTATGGCAGGCCCCAAAGACATTATCCTCCACTAATCTCCCAGGGTTATTTTACCCCCTTTCCGTTCTCCTGCGTATCCCGCCAAATCACAGCATTACCTGTGTTTGTTGGATCCGCCGGCTGGTAGATCCACCCTAGGAGGTCGTGGATGACAGTATCTATGGTTAAGGCCGCTCCACGGATTTTTGTCAGCCGGGTCGGGCCATACGTCCAATTTAGGAAGGGTTTTTGGAGGGCATTGAACTGACCCAAAACTAAGTACAATCCGGAATCCTCCTCAACCTGGGTCTTAGTAATAACCCCATTCAATTGGGATTCATGAATGGGGGTAGAAGTGTTAGTACGCTGCTAGAACCTGTCCTTGTTGGTGTATTTCTGAACATCTCTGTCCGAGTCAGTATCAGGTTCCTGGTAACCTCTTTAGAATTATTTGCCCCCCTGTGTGATACTGAGTCTTGTCTTCCGTACCGAAGTGTTGACGGCCATGACACACCGTAAGTGCCCTCTGCCTTGGTGGATATTCCTCCTGCCGAATGCAGGCTACCAACCTTGTATATTCTTTATTTATTTTATTGTTACATTAGTGTTTATACCGTTTTCATTTAATTTATATCTTTGCATTCTTACTTTTTTTTCAAAATTTAATTTAAAAATATAAATATTAATATACAAAATAGATAAAGCCGGCCCTGTAGTGTACGTAATTGGAATGCGCCCATATGGCCTGCATTGGTTATTGAGAGGATCGTTCTTCTTTTTTTGTATTTTTTGAGCTTATGTTTATTTGGCTTTAATTTATGGCTGGTATCTTAAATGCATATACAATATTACCTATTCACACACAATATTTATTTATGATCTAATTTTTTTGTCATCTTGCTTGATTTGGTTTATTTACTCTTTACTTTTTAAAATTTAGTTTTTGAGACAAATAAAAAGACAAACAATCAGAGTGCTTATATTAGAGATTTTTCATAATTTACTGTCTGAACCGCTTTATTGAAATCTTTGTACATTTTTGTAGTAGTAAAAATGTATATTCAAAAACTGTACGAGTTTAATTTAAAGACTGTAGGTATCATTCGACTTTTAAATAAACAATTATGCGCATTGGTCGTATTGAATGTACCAAAAACTGTTCATTTAATTAAAACTTGAAATAGTTTACTTTTCTCCGTGTAGGGACCTGTTTGATTTCTGGAGCCAGATGACATTTATAGCAACATTGCGAATTTGCGTATATAAACATTTAACGATTAAATTATATCAGAATCGAATTGGTACGGTTATATATATATATATACTAGAACTGTACAAACTACCCCCGTTATAATAACAATTAATTTCAAAATATTTGACATAGTTTTTTCCGTGTGTACCGGTAATAAAATCTTCGTATTTTGTCTCAGATAAGAAGTTTAAAGTAGCTGACAGTCTACTAAGGGCAGTACAAAATACTTTTGGTATAAAAAGTCCTGGAAGACCAGGAATTAAACCTGCTACGTCTAAAAAGTAGTAAGGAATTATTTGATCTATTTTCTTGCTATAATCTTGTTTATATTGTGTATATTTATATGTAATAATGTATGCAAGATATTATCTTGTATACCTACATTATTAGACCCATTAATGTTAAGAAGAATAAAACCAGGGACAAGACTATGGTAAATAACAAAACCTTTCTAAAAGAAAATTGTTAGTTTAAAGCGAGGGGTCACCCACACCTGGGAATCCCTGGACATTTTAGAGAGGGAATACCATAGGAAAACAATGGAAATACATAGGAATATAATAAAATATAATGGGATACATGGGAATCCCTGGACGTTTTCCCTTTGGGTGGTTGACCCCTCGGTTTAAAGGTTAGTTAAGTTTACAATTTGGCCTTTGCAAAAGATGGTACTAATAAGAATTTTAGCACGCCTGTTTGATTTACAGCACCTTTTTGAGTAAACTGCTAAAAAGGAATATCTTTCTGTTATATCAAGACCAATACTAAAATTGATTCTTACTGCATCAACCAGCAATATTATCATAGTTTTTTTATGGTAATGTTAGTCTTTTTCACTTGCAAGCTTTTATCCATACATTTGAAAAACCACTTACAGCATTAAGTCCTAAACAGTATACTCTTATCAAGAATCGTATTGTTAAAGTAAATTGTAAAGATAACGCAATGACAATATAATTCATTAATATTATAACCAATAAAATGCCAGTATTCCAGTTACGCATTTTATCACAGCGACAATATTTTTTATCACCTTGTTTACATGTTACTAAGGATTTTAACATTTTTCTTTATTTGACATTTGTAAAAATTTAATTCCTGTGTTTGATATATGATTAAAATAATGAATTATAAGCTCTAAAAGATCGATGGGTTGTTGTAAACGATAATGAAATTAAGGCAAGTTTGAATAAATTAGGTTTATTAAAGTCTTTTTATATTTTAAAACAAATTTTAATTTTAAATGTCAAACTAACAATGCGTTAAATCCTAAAATTCATTATATTTTCTCACTAAATATAACTCGTGGTATGATTAATTATCGATGATATTTAATCATTGAAACCGAAGCAGCACAAATCTGCAGCCCGGTTTCAATTCGAAAATATCATCGATGATAATTATAATCATTGTTATATTATGGGTGAAACTATTAATGGTTTACTGATAACAAAATATTTTTACGCTAGATTGGGAATGTAGATCACAATATGCAAATATGGTAAAATTCCCAATTAAATAAAAAACAAAAAAACTTCTTCTCCTGTTATCAAACCGTTTTTCCAAATATTTAAACTGATACATTGAAGTTAATAGAAAACTGGAATGTACACATAAACATTAATAAAATAACCCATTATATATAATAATATATAATGGGTTATTTTATAACTGTTTATGTGTACATTCCGGACTGGAATTTCCAGTTTTCTATTAACTTCAATGTATCAGTTTGAATACTATAATAACTAAAATTTAAAGACCAGTACATACTCCAAACTTGTACACATCTGCTGTAATACCCAGACTAGAGTCTAGTCATTAGACCTAAACCAGACACAGGACTAGAGATAAAGGAACCACTGTCATTTCTTTACCACCTATCAGGTACTTCTTAGTAGTGGTTTGTCTTTTAGCAAATCAACCAAAATAAATACCTTCACACTGTATAGTGTAGAAACAAATAGGGTGTAATCGTACTATGAAAATGACACCCTTTAACTATATTTGGTAAGCGAGTCTTTTTGTGTTGAGCTCAAAGTTTAAAGTTTTATCTTGGTCTAATGTAGTAAATAATAATTTTTGTACGGCCTAGGCCATAGATAACCTAACCCAATTGGTCTAAATCATCAAGTGCCAATTGGCCTTAAGGCCATCATTAATCACTAGTAAGACAACAATAAGGTTTTAATTATACGAGGTGTGTTCAGAAAATAACGGGAATTGTTAAATTTCGCGGGTTCGGAGGGTCCGGTTGTCATAAAATGTTCTTTATTAATTTTGCTTAAAAAATGAAATAAATTCTGTGAAATGTTAACAAAGGCCTATAGTGAGTCTGCTATAAGTAAAAAAAGAGTTTACAAGTGGTATAAGAGTTTCCAAGATGGCCGTGATGTGACGTTGAAGATGACGAACGCCCCGAACGCACAAGCACATTAACAACCGATAAAAACATGGAAAAAGTGGAAGAAATGGTTATAAACCATCAGAGAAGTCGCTGATGATGTTGGTTTATCGATTGGCTCATCCCATGAAATTTTTTCAAATGTTTTGGGTATGAAACGCGTGATAGCAAAATTTGTTCCAAAATTGTTAAATTTTGAACAAAATTTTCGGTCAAACACAATACTGTAATTCGCCAGACATGCTTCTGTCTGACTTTTTCCTATTCCCAAAAATATAGAGAACCTTAAAGGGCCGTCGTTTTGCAAGCATAGATGACATTAAAAGCGCATCGAGGAAAGAACTAAAGGCTATCTCAAAGATCGAGTTTTAGAAGTGTTTCGAGTATTGGAAGAAGAGCTGGCACATGTGCATAATATCCAATGGGGACTATTTTGAAGGCGACAACATTAATGTACACAAATAAATAAATATTTGTTTCAAAAAACGACAATTCCCGATAATTTCTGAACACACCTCGTACTTTTAGCACAAATAATAAAATACATATAAAAATATAATAATAATTGCTAGGCGTTATCTAAAATATTTGTATGTTTAAATACTTATTAAACGCTTCATGCAGAATGATCTATATATATTTGGATTTATAAATAGGCAACACAAGTATTAAATTACTGTATAATAATTTATTCAGTCTTTTCTCGTAATAACAAGTTTAACACTATGATAATCTCCATTTGCTTCTTTTTGCTTACTGTTACTCGGTAGCAGGAAATGTATTACAGGACTAATAACATCAGGATTTACAGGACCTTCATCTGCAGTAGAGTAGCTTATTATTAATCCTGCTACTATTGTTATTGTTGTTCCAACCAATGTCAGATAGTAGAACGAGAGCCTGAACATGAAAGGTACTTGATGCATGTTAACCCTGAAATATGTATTTTAAAATTAAACTGCATTTTTATTAGTGTAATGTTTTTTTTACGTTTGAGGTATTGTTGAGTTGAAAACTGGAAAATCACAACCATCAGTGGATAAATTTTGGCTCACATGTTGAATCATTCCGATGGTTTCGTAATATTTACCCCCAAAAATAAGGACCATCATAGACGCCACACCTACAATGGATCCCCAAAAAGCTCCCTGCAAAAGAATACAAAAATTGTAAGACCTTTGAGTCATTCCAAATAAAAACATATGAAAATCCGTTGCCGTTTTAATTTTTGGATTCTTTACTTTTAATTGGCACCCTTTAGAAATCTGAAATCATGTCAATTTCTTACTCTCTTATAGTGGGCCAGAACTTTTTTCTGTGTCAAATATTGAAATGATTTTAATTTTGTTTTACTGTTCAGTAAGTATGTTTTCGATATAAATTATTATTATCCAATTAGCTAATCTCATAAAAGAATGGTAAACCACTAAAGATTCATGATAATTTGCCAATTTTTGTGATTTTTGTCTGGCTCCTGTGCCTATTCTGCTAAATCTAGAAAGTTGCTTTTTTTCAGGTATCAAGTACTTATGCAATAGAAAACGTAACTATTATTTTAAGTTTCTATACTATCATTTTCTTTATTAAAAAAATTATTGAAACTTGATAATTCTTAAAATTAGTCAATTTTGCCCTCAGAAATCATTATGTTGAGTTTTAAATTAAAATCTGAAACTTTCAGGAAATGTAGTCCCAACCTTAATTTTTTCAGTCCAGTTAGTCTTGTTTTGTTATTTTTATTCCTTTAAAAGATATATTAATTTTTTTAATGCCCGTTTAGTAGCGATATTGTTAGTTTTATTTATAATTTAAAATTTAGATGGCTTTCATGTTTGATGGAGAAGTGTCAGAACTGTCAAAAATATTTCATAAATATTATTTGTGCGTATTTCTTTGCTAAATTTTGTATATAACATAATATGTCATATTATGTTATACTTATACAAAACTTTTTAAAATCACCAAAGGAATACCACAAATAATAATTATGAAATATTTTTGACAGTTTTGATATATTTGGTAGTTATGTTATATTTTATGTATTGTATATTATACAATGTATAATCATATATATATATATATATACATGTAAATATATATATATATATTATTATATATTATATACATTATAATGAAGTATTTAATTGGCTAATTGGTGTTTAAAGAAGAAGAATGTAAAAAATTTTTTATTTATAATTTTATATTAATATATTCAAGATCCTTATGGTTCATATCGTAAAGTATAATAAGTGAAATTAATAAAGAGTTAATTTAAACGTATAAAAATGCGTTAAGCAGTTTTTTGTCGGTTTTCTTTAACAATTCAAACCAAGTTAGTCTTGTTCTATTATTTTGATCCCTTTAGTAATGCACTGAATAGTTAAAAGTTATATGTGTATTTTAAATGTTAGTGTTGGAAAAAAATTTACACAATTTGTAAATACTTCTTTAAATTTTAGTTTTTAGGTAACTGGTTAAAATAAAACATGTTATAATAAAGGGGTTTATTTAGAATATTTTTTGGTTTTTGTTTATTATTAACAATTTAAAACTTCTCAGAACTTGAATATTTTCTATGAGAGAGAGGTACAAAATTATGATATGTTCTTGCATTTTTAATTGCAATTAAATTCATGAATCTCGAACACTCCGTCATTTATTACACTTGCAAACTTGCAAACTTTTTGAAATCACAATTTAAATACGCACAAATAATATTTATGAAATATTTTTGACAGTTCTGACATTTCTCTACCAAACATGAATTGACTAAGTCAAAGCCATCTAAATTTTAAATTACAAATAAAACTAACAATATCGCTTCTTAACTGCATTACAAAAATTATTATATCTTTTACATGGATAAAAATAACAAAACAAGACTAACTAGACTGAAAAGATGAAGGTGGGGACTACATTTCCTGAAAGTTTTAGATTTTTATTTTTTCCTCAACATAATGATTTCTGAGGGCAAAATTGGCTAATTTTGAAAATTATCAAGTTTCAATAATTTTTTTAATAAAGAAAATGATAGTCTAGAAACTTAAAATAATAGTTACGTTTTCTATTGTATAAGTTCTTGATGCCTGAAAAAAATCAACTTTCTAAATTTAGCAGATTAGGCACAGGAGCCAGGCAAAAATCACAAAAATTGGCAAATTATTACAAATCTTTAGTGGTTTACCATTCTTTTATGAGATGAACTAATTAGATAATAATAATTAATATTAAAAACATACTTACTAGGCAGTTTTAGCTTCTTATAAAAGAGTAAGAAAATGACACGATTTCAGGTTTCTAAAGGGTGCCGATTAAAAATAAAGCAACTAAAAATTAAAACGGCAACGGTTTTTCATATATGATACCTAAAAGATCATCCTCAAATTTTTTCATTAAAATAAAAAATCATGCAGCGCACTTTTAAATTCATTTTTGGTGTTTTCATTTGGATTGACTCCTTTACTATTACATATTTTCTTTAGGACAATACTCTTGAATTTGGCCCATACAGAAAGTTATTGGAACTTCAAGACTAGACGCTTAGCTACAAAAAACTTACTTTAGAGTTGGCTCTAGGACAAAGAGCTCCCAAGGTGAACATCCCCAAGAGGGGTGCATGTGCCACACTACCCAGTGAAATTGAAAGTGCCATCAGGCCTCCTAGATGTTCTACAACGTAGACCATAAGAGTGCTTACGACACCAACTACTACGACTATGAGTTTGAGGAAGTGGGTGGCGGTTTTGTGACATCCTTTCTTCTCCAACCGATCCTTAAGAAAGTCTTCGTATATTGTGCCGGAGAGGCAGTTCAAGTTTGCAGAAAGAGTACTACAAATGATATTTATTTTGCAAATTCTATTATACAGGGTGTTATGTAATTAATGTTATATATTAAAATACTGAATACCTTTTGACATAAGGAATAAAGGAAAAATATTTAAAAAAACATTTTTCCAAAGATAAAGAAAAAATATGCATTAGAAGTTTTTTATATTTTTTGTGATACGCCACTGGTTACACACTTGTTAATCTCTGCACCCTGTATTTTGTGAGTACATAGATACCAACCAACAAAGTAGCTATGCGTTGCCAGATGTAAAAAATTGTTACTAAAAATTTTTCTTGCAAAAAATAAATAAAAACTCAATAAATACAAAAGTTTTATGCCCTTAAAGCTCTAACACCCTTCTGTATTTATTTACTCATCCAGATATTAGCTTAAGCAATGATTAGAAAATTTAGTACCTTTGAAATTTGAAATCTATAACCACAAAATTATTTTTTTTTATCAGTTTTTTTCTCTGTTTACTCAGATGAAATTGGGACCAGTTCACAGGTTAAACTTTAAACATTTAATTTGTATAAATCCAAAAGCACTTCCCTTAGTTAAGATATTTACAATTTGAAAACATAACCTAAAATTTAAAAGAAATGCACTAGATTCTGTCATAAAAGTTGGCAGATTTTGTTTGAATTTACCTTCAGTACAAAAATGAAATAACCAACAATTAATAAAAACGCCAAATTGACAATTTGCATTGTTAATTTTGTCATTTTTGTAATTAAGCTAAATTTAAACAATGTTTGTCAACTTTTTTGAGAGATTTTGGAAAAACTGTTGTTACCAACCATAACATAATAAATCCACCAGATTAACCTAAAGTTCCTAGTCGATCAGTGGCGTACTTTTTGGTAGGATAAAGGTTATTATAAATTATTTTTAGACTTTGGAATTTAGAAAAAGAAGTGCTTCTTTATGGACCCTAAGGAACAACCCATTTTAATATATAACATTAATTACATAACACCCTGTATTTGAAATAACAGATTTACCTCAAAGCAGCACAAAAAACTCCTGCTATAAAAAGTCCTGAAAGTCCAGGAACCTTTCCTGCCACATCCATAACATAATATGGCAACAAGTGGTCTTTATTCTGGATATGTTTTGTAAGGAAAGGATCGCAATCATGATACAAAGTGTACATAATAAGACCGGTCCATACACTTATAATTTTAATAAGGATCATTCCAAAACAATAGTAATAAACTGTTCTAAAATTATTATTAATTATATAAATAAATATAAGCTAATTTATTGTTAAAATACTTTTTCGCTTTTTCGAATGTGTTGACCGCCAAAAATTTTTGTACACAACCCTGGTTTACACTTGTATGTCCTACCCAGTGCACTGTAAGGCCTATAACTACAGCCCAGAATGAGTCCCTAGTCGTGGGATTAGGATCAAAACTAAAATTAATGCGGTTATACAGGATAACCAAATATATCTATATTTCTTACTTAAATAAGTCCAATCTATTTCCTTCAAGAGACTCATAAAACACATTGGCTATACCTCCGGTTGATTGAAGGCCTAAATAGAAAACTGTAACCATAGCTCCAACCGTTACAGTAAATTGAAGGGTATCAGTCCATACCACAGCTTTTAAGCCACCGATGGTAGTGTAAAAAATACAAACACCACATACCACTGGGGTAATAAGGTGCACGCTTACGCCAGTTGCTAAAAATTAAGAAATTGTACTGAATTATGCTCTTACATATACTGTATGACTTTTTTATTATACCTCTGCACAGAAAAAACGCTTTAATATAGTCAATAACAATGCTATGATTGATTGTTTTTTCATTTCTCCAATAAAAGTTAAAGTTTATTCAATCAAATATGTTTGGAGCAATTGAGGGTAAGGGATTGATGTTATTATAAATATAATATTAATTTAAAATTACTTGTTATAGAGTGAATGACTCTTTAGATTTAAACCTAAAGGAAATTGATCATTTTAGAAATTATTGTATTCAAAGTTTATCTGATCAAGGTAAAATTAACAATTGATTTAAATTAAAAGTTATAATACTTTAACCAAAAATTAAAAACGAATGAAATAAAAATAGTCTTTGTTTCTTTTAATGTTCATGATTTTTATTCCAATGGAACCTAAGGTAAAGTAAGTTATTACTGTCTTACAGTGAATACCAATGTTTTCACTGTCTTGAAAAATACTTGTTATTTGCCCAATTATCATTCCCATTTTTTAAATGCAATTTAATGAATGCCACACCACACATCGTCAACCTGCAATCGCGTACGTGCGTATAGTTAAATGTGATCAACTGATTAATCGGTATTTCCGGTAATGCCGTTTGATGTAAGTTTATGGGTTATCTCTGGTGTAGGCAGTGTTTGGTTGTTTGTTATATTTGCTAATTTCTTGGGGGTTTTTCTATTCCCGAATTTTCAAGGTAAGTTGTACATGTTTTTTAATTGTATGTCCGCCGTGCATTATCCAGTAATTTAATTACACAATTATATATAAATGATAACAAAAAGGTAAATGTGTACTCATATAGGTATATACCATGGACACAGTTTATCTTGATATTCGGTATTTTTCTTAAATGGACGAAGTTTTTATTAATTTGTAAAAAAAATCATAGCCTTTCAGTACCATTATGATATCCTTGCAGGGCATCCTGAAAGTATATATTGCTTTAGGACTTTCATCAATCTCTTTCGCCTCTAAATACATAAGATAAAATTCCTATTTCGTTTTAGAATAACCATGTGCCATGGCAGACAGATCCTGCACATCTAGTACAGTAACTGTTGCTAGTGATGGGTCAGCAACTTTCTTAGATCCTAATATCACCAACACTTCTTGCAGGTTCCTAATAGTTTCTACAGAAAATAGAACAATTTCATTTTATTGATCGAAAAACCTGTGTACACAAGACTACCAGAAGAAGTTTTCAGAATTCATTTTATTTAAAGTTCACTAAGTTTTAACACTGATAGCAAAATTTGACTCTAAGAATTTTCTAAGAAGATATGACCCGGAATAATGGAATATTCTTAGAACCTTCCCTTATTGCTAAGAATTTTCTTAAGGACTTTTAAAACATTCAATAGATACCCTTTTAATGAAGAAATTAGATTCTTAGAAGCTTCTTAAAACCTTCCTAAAAAGCATTCTAAGAACATTTTAAGAATACGTTTTTGGAATGTTCTTAGAAGGTTTCTTATGGAGCTTCTAGGAAGCTTTTGAGAATATTTCCAAATATTTATGTCAGATACCCACGTTCTAATATGTTGGATTCTACATTCGTAAAATTCTTCAGGAGGCGACAAATAGGCCTCACTGTCATAACATGACAGTAAAAGGTATTTGTCGTACCCTTAAAAAATTTTGCGACATATAAAATATTAAATAAACAATTTGACCTCTAAACCATAAGTTGTATGACATTATTTCATAAAAAGTAAAATTGGAAAATTTTGTGGGATAAATCAGATTAGAGAAGTTAAAGATAGTTAGGTTTATTATACATAAAAATGTTAATTCAGATATAAAAAATCGGTATACAAATTAATAAATATTTATTTTTAACAAAAAATAAAATATAAAAAAACAAAATATTTCCTTATAAAATAATTTTTCATAAAAGAAAAAACCAAATAGTTCTTCATAAAAAAAACATTTTTCATTGTATTTAAGTTGGATAGAAGATTTTATGTAAAAGCCGGATAATTTAGATAGTATCTAATAGATACCTATACTGCCCTACTATGGAAAAAGGCAGTAACTGCAAAATAATGCAAAATGCGTTTGCTTGTGCTATGGTAAAAATATGGACATTTTGTAACCGAATTTAACATAGAAATGCAGTCAAATATCTCATAAGTTATAAAAATCAATTAAATACCTACTGCTTTTTATCAAAATGTAGTTTATGCTAATTTTCCACAAATTTCTTGTTTAGCAGTTACTGCCTTTCTCCATAGTAGGGCAGTATAGTAAAAGTATTTTTGTTGTCGAATATTGTTTTAATTTGACAAATAAGTATAAAAAAATATTTTGGGTTGTGTTTTTTACTTAGCATTTAATACTAAGTATAGGTACCTTTATACGTAGATTATGGTATATTTTACTATTATATAGGTACCAGTGCTGCCAGATGAACGGATTTATCCGTTTTTTACGGATTTTCCAGGTCTAGAGAAATTGGAAACGGATTTTGAACGGATTTTCATCAAATACGGATTTTTACGGATTTTTAAGATAGCTTCATACTAATACTAAAAAAACATCATTTTTGCCCCGTTTTTTGATCATCTTTGTCACGCTTCTATTCCTCTTCCTTTTTACTACGTTAGACAGAAAAAGAAAGCGGATTGAAAAAGGATGTGTTCTTAATATAGGGTTCTTAAACGCCGAATATATGCGAAACATATGCTTTTTCATTGAGTGTGACAAAGAGAACGATAGTTTCATATCATTTGTTAAGGTTTTATAACACGTTGTTATTGCTGCCAATATATAAGCGGCGCAATGCCACCAATAGTAACGACTAACCAATACTGACTCCAGTTCAGTGCATTGAACTGCATTGTGGCAATATTTTGATCTCAAAGTCAATGTTTATTATATATCCGAATCTGTATATAAAATACTTTATTTTGTGAAAAATGGAAAGTGACGAGAATTATATCACTGACGCAGAGGTTCAAACTTCTGAAACTCCCCCGAAAAATTCTGAGATGTTTCGGATTTTCTTTGACGAAAGGTATGTTTTGTCACGAAAATCCCCCTTATAGAAGAAATTCTTCGAAATTTAGACAAAAACGGATTTTTACGGATTTTTCGAGGCTTCCCCCCACCCTTTCCACGAATATATACGGATTATCCGACCATCTGCTCTGGCAGCACTGATAGGTACCTAACTGAACTAAATATGCTTAACAGAATGTTCCAGGAATATTCCTAAATGAACTTTCTATAGCAATTACTTTCTCAACATTCTAAGCATATGTTTAGAGTGGATTAATTTTTAACACTAAACTTTGCACCTTCCAAGAACCTGCCTATAGGCCAGTGAGAATATTCTTTGGATTATGCTATATTTCTTTTAAGCATGTTCTTTAGAAGAAATATAGCATGATCTTAAGAATATTTTCACTGGAAGGTTTAAAAAACATTCTTAGAACATGACTAGAAGAAAAATATAGCATGATCCTAAGAATATTCTCACTGGAAGGTTTAAAAAACATTCTTATAACATGACTAGAAGAAATATAGCATGATCCTAAGAATATTCCCACTGGAAGGTTTAAAAAACATTCTTAGAATAAACTGTGCGATCAGGGAATACGGATTTAATATAATCATGATTTAATTCAATGACTTCTTATGTTTGAACTAATTTTAAGCAGGTTTGCACAAATAAGAGTAAGACAATCATTCATTTGATCATAGCTGTAATTCAGGTATTGCAAATAATTGTAACATTGGCTCAATGGTTAACCCATTCACAATATAAAAGGTTTTTCTCTGCGTGTAAGAAGAAAAAGCATACATTTTCTACACAAACTATTTAAAAAACTTACCTGCTGAAAAAGCCAACGCAGGAATATACGTAACAATAGGTAAATACAGGAATATTGACAAGGCAAAAAGTCCCGAAGCGCATCTTCTGACTCGATTGTCGAATCTTCTTTCCAAATATTCGTAGGTGCTCGTTATTTCCAGTTTATAAAAAATCGGAAGGAACACGTAATTTGTAATAAATGCCAACATTACCATGGATAGCGTGCCTAACAAATACGTTCCGCCAAATTTGTAGACATCAGCAGGAATTGCCAGCAGGGTGATTCCAGATGTATGACTAGAAAGAAATAATTTAAATAAAAACAGGGGTAAACTATTTCTTATTTTGATTTAAAAATATATTTTTTTAAGTTAAGTAAGTATTGCCATTTAAGTTTTTATCATATTAACTTGTAGTCAGTGGCATAGCCGGCTTAGGCCAAATTTTGAGTATCTATCCCAAATCTGCATAACTATCAAATATCTTTTTAGCTTATTTGAAGTTTTATATTATTAAAGATTTTATGTAGGTAAACGAATATTAGAACACCAAAACAAAACACAAAGTGCTTGAAGTACTTTTCGCCAACGATGTTGGCATCTTTAGAAGCGAAGTGTAACTAAATCTAACTGCTAAATCTACCATATTTATACTAATTATAGGCTAAGGTTGACTGAACCGTGAACGGACACAGTTTACTAAACCGTGGACCGCAACCGCTTCAGTGAACATGTAAAGAGAAACTAGCAAACTAATTAAATTACCCAACTCTAGTTTGTATAAATTTTATACAAACTAGAGTTGGGTACCGGTCCGTTATCGCTATTTGAAGATTTATTTCTATTCTTATAGATGTATAAACAGTGGCGTGCAGGACAGGCCCCGCAGGGCCCGCGGTGCGGGGGGGGCCCCCGACCTTAGGGGGGCCCCGTAGAGAACCACATTGGGTGGTATAAGTGACAAAGGGGCCCGAGCTCAAAATTTGCGGGGGGGCCCCCGATCACCTTTGCACGTTACTGTGTATAAACTTTCGTAACTATCAGACTAGCAGACTTGGTTCCTTAATTTCCTTAATAAGTTTAAGGTTGTTCTATGAGCATCATTAAGTATATGTTGGGCAACACTCGATTTCTTTGTCCTAACAAATCTTATATGTTTTCATGACACTAGTATGCTTATAGTGTACTTATAAGTAATATTTTAAATACAGTTTGACAAGTTGTGGCTTTATGGCGTTTTAGTCACGGACTGAAGTTAGCAATAGGTTTTAAGTTACAGGCTGAAGTTAGTTTTAAGTTTGTTGACAGTTGTCAAATGTCATACAATCGTTAAAATAAAGTAGCCTTCTTGTGATATAATACTGCGATTTAGGCTAGTGGAGTGTGGACAAGGAGGGAAAACATTTTGGTCCTTAAGGGACATTGAACTAATCCAAAACTAAGTATAATCCGGAGTCACCCTCAACCAGGGTTTTACTAATGAACCCCATTCAATTGGTGTTCTTGGTGTCTTGAAGTACTTCCTGTTCGTATGTGTCCGTGTCTCTGTCCGAGTCGGATTCCGAGCTTGCTGACTATCGGTAACGTTGCATCACACTGTGTGGTTGTTTACAATTTCGCATAGAACGTAATTTATGGTTTCCTTAAATGTGTTGAGTAATATACAGATGTTTATTTCTTTAGGATAAGTTTCTTTTGCCTAGTGTTTATCTGAACTTGAGTGATTATAATGAAGGCTTATGTAAGCCCTTATTTATGAGTTCTTTGTTGGTGTTATTAATTATTATTCGCCAACAGTTTCCATAATAACATCCCATTTTGGTAGGTTTACTTATCCGGTTTATTTAGACTTGGACGTCAGGTGTTGTGAAATTATTCCTTAACCACGACAGCCCACTATTAGCCCACTATTAGCACGTGTTGTTTCTGTGTTGGTAATCTAGGAAAAATTATTCGTGGTTTTCAATCACCTCACTTACCCTTTTTCACAGGTACAGCACTTTGGGACTGGGACCAGGGGGAGGTGCCACACGCAATTTGCACACTTTTTGCAATTGGTTCTGGTAGATCACTTGTAGAATCATTAATTGATTTTATGAATTTGAAAACTGATAGTGGTGGTAGCATTATGAAAGTACGAAGGCCTTAAACGAGACCCTAGACACACGACCGTTTGCCTTAAGGTGAGGAGCGACACTTATTCATTCTTTTATTGTTGACAACTTTAATTTTACTAACCTATGCTAACAAAATTACTGTAACAAAATTATGATAGGGATTATACAAATTGCAGACAGACACAAGTCTTCATCTAGGGATTAATTTTAAAAATATCTTATGCCACTGTTGCAGCATAAACTATGGGTAATTTTACACTATTTCCACTAAAACCCCAAAATTCAATTTATTCGACTTATGACACTGTTGTCCCTCATGTGCGATGTAGTCATTTTAGCTTGACGTTATATGTAGCCTAGCAAACATTGTTACGTCCCGACGCACACTGGGAGGAATTTCAAAAATCGCGGACAAAACCCTATTTTGTAAAAATCAACCTAGTAAATTTTAAATTACAAGTTATAAAAAAAGAAAGCACAGAGATTATGATTTTAAAAGAAATATTTTTTTTATGATAAAATGCCCGCTTAAACTTGCTTAAAAAGTCACATTGTTCGTGTCGGTTTTTTAGAGCAAATTGTATGTAAGTTTTTTAAGCCCATTTTTGTTTTGCGTAATTAATGAAAGGAAATGATGGTATATTTTACTACATTCCTTATCCTTGTTCTTTCATATAAAAGTCTAAAATTGCAAATTTTACCATAAATACGGTTTTTATAAACCTTTTACCATCGCCTTTAAAAGTAGATCAATCTTTTACAAACCACAAGATATTTCGTTAGGTGTGCCTTGGTGTGAGGCAAAGTTTTTGGTACCAGAACGTTCATCAAATTTTCTTTTTTTAAAGTCAAAAGAATTAAGCTGCCTTTTTTGCCTGTTTGGTCTGCAGAATATGAAATATGTCCATGAATTTATCATATTAGTCGAATATTTATAAGTCATCATAGTTGCCTTTTGCTAGTTCTAAAACGTCAGTTTCCAGTAAAAGTCAATCATACATACAATCTCATCGTGTTTTTGTGTTTATTAACGCTTTATAATAATATTTGGTAAGTTATAATATTAATATTAATATAAATATTACATGTTTATTTGAATAACTTGCTTCTTTTTATGTAGAAATGCCATCAACGACTAATAAGGAGTTGTATGAACTTATTAAAAATGTTAGTAACAAAGAAAAACACAACAAACTTTTAAAGTATCTAACCGAAAACCTGGATATTATTGATAAATCTTATATTGTCCCCTGAATCCGAAAATATCGTCAAAAGTTAAAAAAGTAAAACAGTTTTTGAGATTTAGTCAATTTTTCATTTAATATGGAATTGACTATATTTTAAAAACTGCTCCACTTTCATAATTTTGTATGGCATTTTCGGATTCAGGGGACAATTTTACATAAGAATTGGATGTTAAATTTTGGGATACCATTATATTCCATGGTTAACTATGGTACAAGTAAAAAAGCAGCCAATAACTATTAAATTAGTCATTTTTGACTAATTCATTTTTAGAGAGTAGGTAAAAAACGTGGATTTAACCGGTTTTGCTTTAAAGTCAACTTTTAAATGTTATTTTAACATCGATATAGGGTTTTTTGGACCAAGTCACTCTAGTTGTCGATATAAATAAAGCAAAAGATGCGAAATTTACAAATAAAAGATGTATCGAAAAAAATGTATATAAGTGATTTAGCTCGATTATTCCTTAATTGTTATTGTTTTTTTGTTTATTTTTCTATTTTTAGCTTAGGTAATATTGCGTAATATATTTGTTTATTAATTTATGTTTTTGTAAAATGGAGGATCGACAATACCGAACTTTTCCAAATTGTTTAAAACAAATTTGTGAATTTGTGTACATAATTAAAACATTTTATTAATATTAATATTTTAGCATAAATTTACCACCGCATAAACCTTAAAATGGCTTAAAATATTGTGTCCCTAATTTTGTCCGCGATTTTTGAAATTCCTCCCACTGTGCGACGGCAAACTTATGACCAAACGTCACATGCGGATGTGTTTTACGTCGGCTTAACGTTGAAAAGAGATGTCGAACCTTAATCAATGGGAAACATCGCTAAATGAACCACAAATATTTGTAGCCTAGCGGTATTTATAGTAAGAGAGCGTGCGTAAGCAGCGGTGAGATGTATCGCTATTATTTTTGTTTATAACTTTCTTAATTAATTAAATATTAAGGATATTTTGTATCAGTTATGTTTATTGGCCATTTTACCTGTTAAGTAAATAAAATTAATATTTTTTCTAATAAAATATTAATTGTTGTTAACTTTCCGATAATTATTTTTCGATATTTAAATATTTAGGGTGTTTAAATTTTATTGTTTTTTCCATTTAAATTTTTATATTAATTGATACATTTAAACAATAATTATTATTTCAATTTTTTTACATCTGGAAAATAAACACGATATCGTCCCAACGTTTTGCCGACGTTAGCTTCCCATAAAAAGACTACTACTAAAACAATTTTGGTTCGACATATTACCAACGTTGTCTATCGGCTAAATCAGTTGCCAACATTTATCCGATTATGATTATCATCGGTCGACGATTTAATGTTTGCTGGGAGTCATATATAGTCATTTTAGCTTATTGTCACCATTAAAACTTATTGCCATTTCAGCTTGTCATCATTTTAGTTAGTGGCATTTACTTTATCAATTTAAAAAAAATCTATTCACAAAATTCGTAAATAGTGCTTTAACAAAACATATTTTACCTTGCAATAAGTGATATGGCAATGGGTATAACTTTCATCTGTTTTCCACCCATTAGGTAATCCTGAGCAGTTTTTTGTTTGCTTCCAAAGCAACCAAAATAAATGCCTATCAAGCTGCTAAGAAACAACATGGCGGTGAAAAGGATGTAGTCGTACCATGAAAAAATGGGCTGCATTACCTTTTCCAGAAGTTCTGGAATCACTGTCGTTGAAGTATCATAGAGTAGGGTGGTTAAGTTCTCCATCTAAATTGTATGAAAGATATTAAATCACTTTTAATTGTACTAAATATTGATATATATAACTTACCTTATTTCAATAACTATTAATTATAATTATTAAATAAAACAATTATCGCGTCGAGAACGAAATGATTTTAAATTGCCCAGTAAAGTACCTTTATTTGGATTTTAAAAATTTTCCATTATTGTTCTTTTTATTTCGACACGATATTTGCAAAAGCTTTATTTTGCAACTGGATTTAATTAGATATAAGTAAGTATCATAAATCCTAGTAGGTATAAAAGACGCAGTAGTTAACAAAACAATTTGTAGAAGAATTAAATAATACTCCTATCTTATAATTTATAAGTCTATAGCATATTAATTTATCTACGCAAGGCGCCAAAACTTTTTAAGATAAAATAGTTCACTATAGTGAACTATTTTATCTTAAAAAGTTTTGGCGCCTTGCGTAGATAAATTTACCCCCCAGTTTTTTGTTTATTTGATGCGATGTGATGTAAAAAAGTCAAACGTACTTAAATCCGGAGTAAAAATATTGGGGTAATTGAGGGGTCAAGTCTCTGGTTCTTGCACTGGACTCAATTTATAGGAGCGTTTTTTTAACTCTTCCAAGTTTTATTGTTTTGGAGATAGGTACCTGGTTTTTGCACTAGACTTAAATTGTAAAAAAAAACAAATAAATCAACAAATGTATAAAGAATAAAAGTTATACCTAAATATATTTTTCTACTTCCACCTTTAAAACGCCCTTTATCGTACATGTTTCCATGACCCTTTTAAATACACATTGACAAGTTGTGGCTTTATGGCGCTTTACTCACGGGGTGAAGTTAGCAACAGGCTTTTAGTCACGGGCTGAAGTTAGTTTTAAGTTGTCAAATGTCATACAATCGTTAAAATAAAGTGCCTTTCTTGTAAAATAATACTAAATGTGAAAATTATCTCAATACAAAAATACAAAAGTATTAAATAGTTTCTCAACGCCAATATTTGAAAAGTTGTGACATTGAACATTGTACTGACCTTTTAATTTCGCCGGCAGTAAACTATAACTTAAATTCGGGCACGAACTCCACTGTAGAGTGCTCATAAAACATTTTCTTTACTTTTACTGTGAAAAACTGTCAATTTTCAAGAAATATTTCGATTTATAACCTTTATAATCTGTGTTTATAAAATATAGAAATTTGACGGTGACACACAGATTCCCCTATTGTTTCATAGATGGCGCTCTATACAAATTTTTGATTTAAATCATTTTTTCTACAAGCGTGCGGAAAGTTGCTACTTTCCGCACGCATAACTGTGCGGAAAGTAGCACTTTTCCGCACGCAAATAATTTCCGCACGCAACCCCCCAATTGTTAAGCATTATTGGTTTCTATGGTTTTTAAAATACTAAACATAATTAAGTCCTGAAACGTCAAGGTTTTGAGTTTAAAAATGGAAAGTGAAAGTAAAAATTACGAGATTACCGAGTCTATCCTGGAAGAAGCAAAAAAGCCTTAGTTTGCCATCAACATCTGACATCTTAGCATCGGCAATAAATTTGCAAAACGCAACCAATTGCAGTTTTAGTATAATATTACAAATAATTAGACTACATACACTCTTAGAAAAGACCTGGTATTTGCAATGAAAATTTAGTTCCCAGAACCAATTTTATTAGTGAAAATAGGCACAACAAAAAAATATGTTGTGGGAACTAATACAAATTTGTTTTTACAGTTTGTTGTCGGAACAGCCAATATTGGTAGCTCCAACCAACAAGTTTTAGTGCATCGAAATTAGTTTTTTTTTCATACAAATAATTGATATTTAATGCAATCACATTAGTCTGTCATTTTAGCAGCGTCTAAGTTGTAACAACTGCACTTGCTATTTATCGCAACAAACATTGTATCATGCAGGAATTTATTTTTTAATTGAAATTACATGAAAAAAGGTACATTTAAAGAATTTAATAGTTGATATAATATAAATTTGTTTTGTACTGTAACTTAGTTATATTTAATATTAAATGCTTGCATTAGTAGCAACAACAAATTGGTATAATTATTCCACAGTACATACCTGCTTAGTAAATATAGCACTTTTTGTGTAAATATTATAAAAAATAGAGAAAGGAAATTCATGCCCGTTCATTTTAAAAATATTTATTATAAATTAAAAAATAACAATATAACTGAAAACACCAAATTTTGGTTTAAACATTATAACAAAAATTAATAATTACTCTAAGAAAACATTTATAAATATTTTAACAATAAAACAAAAACGATTCTTTGGTAAATATACACAGATAGGTACATTAAGATGAAAGTTGACTATACTTCTTCAGTAAACCGTGATGTTTACGTGAAGTGCAAGCCTTTGTTTAACAACTTAACAATGATTCTTAGGTACTTACAACGTAACATACTTGCATGATAACAGGGGTAAGCATTCGATAAATTTTGAGTGTGAGTGCCTATAGTATAGGCCCTATACCAAAAATGCGACTTGAGCTGAAACAAAACAAAAAAATTCTCGAAATTCCGACGTGATGGAGACTTTTGGTGGGCACCATTGGATTCAGGAGGCCATTTTCAGTCGGAATGGCATTTTCACATTTTTGGATTTTTTTTTCGGACCCCAAAACTACAATAGTGTAATTAAAGGAGTGCAATAATAATACCTAACCTTTAAAAACTGGAACCAATTCAGGTAAACCCCATGTTCCTAATAAATCTGCTACTTCAGTCCGCTCATCCATATTATTTGTTCGAGATATCTATAAGTAACCAACACATAAGAATATATTCTTATATATATGAATAGTTAAAAAGTATGTCGCCACTGAATTTACAGGGGCAAATGACTAATTGTAATAAACTAGTTTCTTACCTAAAATATACACTACACACGAGCTGATACACAAATACAAAAGAACAAACACCACCGAAGTCTGGACGCCGTGCAACACCGTTTGTTTACAGGTTAAAAGTAAAGCACGCGCCGGGCTGGACAAATCGCGCGCGAAATGCACAAATTTTGCAGTGGCATTAACCTACAGAGACAACATCCCCAACTGACACTTTGTTTCACACCGCTGTGTCTTAGCTGTGTGAAAAGTGACGCATAGTTTATACAACCGAACCGTTAGTTCCACGGACTAATTTCAGTCAGTTGAGAATGTTACTTAAATATTTGGTCCAACAAAAACATTTTACCGCCGAAATGATTTTTTTGAGATAATGTTGTCAATACTTCTAGCCAACACAAAGTTTCAGTTAAAATAACTTAATCGCCTTTTTGCAGTAAATAATACTCAACAACAAAACTAAATTTTTTCAGGTAATGATGCAAGCAGTTACACATATAAAGGTACTGATTACAAAAAACAAAAAAATTTATTTTCTGCAACAGTTTTACCCCAACGATAATAAGTTAGTTACAAATACCAGGTCTTTTCTAAGAGTGTAGTTGTGTTATTATTTAAAAAATGTCTTGTGTATTATTGTTAAAATAAAATGTTTTCCATATTATTTCATGCGCTTGTAGAAAAAATATTGTACCTACCACGCGCGGAAAGTGTCTTTTCCGCACTCGACTGATGACCGAACTCCGCTACGCGTCGTTCTTTCAACGGCAGTCGCGTGCGGAAAAGTAGCACTTTCCGCACTAGTTAGGTAAATAACTATTTTCTACAAGTGTGCGGAAAGTTGCTACTTTCCGCACCCATAACTGTGCGGAAAGTAGCCCTTTTCTGCACGCTTGTAGCAACTTTCCGCACGCTTGTAGAAAAAACATTGTACCTAACACGTGCTGAAAGTGTCATTTCCGCACTCGACTGCTGACCGAACTCCGCTTCGCGTCGTTCGGTCAACTACAGTCGCGTGCGGAAAAGTATCACTTTCCGCACTTGTTAGGTAAATAACTATTAAGATAATAATAAGTATTTGTCGTAGAAAAAGTATAGTATGCACCTCGTTTATAAACTTTTCTATACACTCATTAATTTAAGCACTCGCTCGTGCTTAAATTAAATTCGTGTATAAAATGGCGTTTATCAAACTTGATACATAATATACTATTTTAATCAGACTTATAGTACACTATTATATATTATATTGTGTAAATGTGATGTCATTTTAGTCACGAGTGTTAAGTAGGCACGAGCGAAGATTGCGATAGAGTGTTTAATAAACGAGTGTCTAGAAAAGTTAAATAATTTTCAAAAATAAATAATAAAATCCGACATCTGTCAGACTGTTTAAACCTCACTTTATGGTCGCTTTATTTTTACGATTTTTTACGATTGTATGACATTTGACAACTGCAACTAACTTCAGCCCGTGGCGAAAAGCCACTGTTGCTAACTTTAGACCGTGAATCCGTGACGTACGTCATAAAGTCGCAGATTGCCAATGTGTTTTTGAAAGATCATTGTCGTCATGGAAACATACAAGGCGTCTTAAAAGTCAAGGACAGCAGAAAAGGGGTAGATAGAGGATTGGATTCTAAGTCGAATAGTCTTTGCCGTTTTTCCGATCATTTTATTAATAAGAAAAAGTCCAAAGGTGTTAAGTCTGGTGATCTTGGGAACCACACTAATTAAATAATAATGTTAAACTTATTTATTATTAATATTATTAAAATATTATTTTTACTCATTTACCTATGAAACCTATGTACCTGTACCTATTCTGCCCTACTATGGAGAAAGGCAGTAACTACAAAAAAATGCAAAATGCGTTTTCTTGTGCTGTGGTAAAGCTATGGACATTTTGTATCCGAATTCAACACAGAAATGCAGTCAAATATCTCATAAGTTAAAAAAATCAATTAAATACCTACTGCTTTTTATAAAAATGTAGTTTATGCTAATTTCCCACAAATTTCTTGTTTAGCACTTACTGCCTTTCTCCATAGTAGGGCAGTATTTGTCAAAAATTAAGATTTCTTCTGAACCTAAAAAACCAAAACACTGACAGTGACAGTGAATAAATAAAATTAAGGTCATTCCACAATATACGTTCATAGCTATGGAATGTTTACAAAAGTTGTGTTGTTCCACCTCTAATCATTCTGATAGAGCACGCCTGTGGTTGGCTACTTCATTTTATTAATAACTAATTAATGGTTCGTCTGATCAAAAAACGGCAAAGACTATTCGACTATTTGACTTTTGATATACCCTGTATATGA